GCAATTCTCCTGCCTCAGCCTCCTGAGCAGCTGGGATTACAGGCACACGCCACCATGCCCAGCTAATTTTTTTTGTATTTTTAGTAGAGACGGGGTTTCACCATGTTGACCAGGATGGTCTCGATCTCTTGACCTCGTGATCCACCCGCCTCGGCCTCCCAAAGTGCTGGGATTACAGGCTTGAGCCACCGCGCCCGGCCTTAAATGTTCTACTTTTAAACAAAGGATAGGTACTCAGATGTGGCTTAATATGGTCAATGTTTATACTTTACATCTTCATTTGTGAATACGTATTTTTTTACTTAACAGACCAGTGTGACAGTACATTTGTAAATATTATTTTGAATTTATCCAAACCTTATTTTATACAGGCAAAATATAATACATGGTTCTTAATACCTAAAATGATAAAATTCATCTTTAATAATGTTCTTTGCCTACCCGAAAAATTTTATGCATCCTCATGGTGGCTGAACAAAAGATAAATCTTGTGAGGAGCAAGCGAAGAAATTCATCTCCAAAAAACTGGAGAAATGCCTGATCTGCAAAGAGGAGAAAAGTGACAGTAAAAAGATGCTTAAATGGAAATTACGTTTCAAAGGGTAAGGAAACTTCAGGAAAGCCTTCTCAACTTTCCTGCCTGGGACACATACCTTTAAAAATTCAAACAATTTAAAATAAGTAACCATTTTAACCCATGATAATACATTCTGTTAAGTGTGCAGTTAGATTAAGAGGGTACCTATTGAACGTGAATGGGTCAGAAGCTGGGCAATATCACGGTTGATTTTTCGAAGATATTCTTGACACTTTTCCCATAGGCCTCTGCGCATGCTTGACAATCCAGAGACAAATAGGAAGGCCATTAGAGGATTGTTCAAAAAGAGAGTGAAGAGGCTACCTCGCTGAGATTGATCTGTAATAACAAACATGTTATTATATATATAGACAGTAGTTTTGCAAAAGATAAGAGATACACATGAGGAACATTTTAATATATTGATAATATATAAAATTAAAGCTATATCACTAAATCATAATTCAACAAAGCAGATTCTTCATGAAACTACAAAAATACATCGTTGGTATGTTGCTTTCTGCTGAACAAAATTAAGGAAGAGCCTAGCAAACTTAAGAGAAATGGAAAATGAACATATTTCTTACCATTTTCTACCCTCAATTAACAAATTTCATCCAAGTATGGCAAGTGTTGGATCACGGATTATCTGTGACAGAATTCTCTGATGAGTGCTAGAAATGCCAGTCTTTTTGATTCTCCTCTGAGTTGCTCTCTATGAGTTGCTCTTTCCCTTCCTGTCCCTTAAATATGAGTAGTTTCTTTCTTTGGTCCCATACACCACTGACTGCTCTTACTCCCATGATTTTAGTCAACAATTATATGCCTACTAGTTTCCAATTCTCTATCAGCAGCCTAAATTGAATTCCGTAGGTCTAGCACTGCTCTGTCCTGCAATAGATACTGAACATTCACAATGTGACTAGATAGGTAAAATACACACTGGATTTCAAAGCCTTAATACAAAATATCACTGTTAACACTAATTTCACCGGTTTCTTTTTACTGTTTTTGACATAGGTATTAGAAAATTTAATGACTCACACTCCATTTCTTAGGTGACTCACACTCCAGTTATGTACTGCTGCTCTAGGCTACTATAATCAACCTAACTCTCAAAGGCACCTCAAACTCAACATGTCAACAACTCAAAGCAAATTCTTTCCCCTTTTGTTCTCTACAAATATGTTTCTCAACAAGTATTATCATTTCTACCAGCAACTCAGCCAGAAACCTGGAAGTCTATTCCTGCCTTCCCTCCCCACACCTAGTCCATCACAAAGTCCTGTCGGTTTTATGGGCTCAGTATCTTTTGCAGCCGGCTACATAGGCACTGTGCTACATTCAGCCATCTCCCTATTTTCATCCATGCCGCTCCTCAGTTTATTCTCTAAGAGGTTAACTGAATGCTCTTTCATGCTACTCATCTGTTTAAACCTTGTGATGGTATCAGCTGAGTACCCCTTATCCAAAATGCCTGGGGCCAGAAGTATTTTGGATTTTGGATTTTTTGGGATTTTGGAATATTTGCATATACATAATGAGATATTCGGGGGACAGATCCCAAGTCTAAACACGAAGTTTATCTATGTTTCATAGGTACCTTATACACATAACCTAAAGGTAATTTTATATAATATTTTAAATAATTTTGTACATGAAACAAACCTTGTGCTAAGTACTGATATGTGGAATTTTTCACTTTCAGTGTCATATTGCTACTCAAACTTCTGAATTTTGAAACATTTCAGATTTTACGATTAAGGATACTCAACCCGTACCCCATTGTCTTCCACTTAAATCATTTAACAAATCTTAGAAGTTCTTTCATAATTCAATCACACAATCTCAAACTCTACCCTTTAGCTAGGAGGAATTACTTTAATTTCTCTATATGCTCAGCCAGGCACAGTGGCTCACACCTATAATCCCAGCACTTTGGGAGGCCAAGGTGAGCAGATCACTTGATGTCAGGCCTGTTTCTACTAAAAATACAAAATTAGGCCACGTGCGGTGGCTCACACCTGTAATCCCAGCACTTTGGAAGGTCAAGGCAGGCAGATCACGAAGTCAGGAGTTCGAGACCAACCTAGCCAACATAGTGAAACCCCATATCCACTAAAAATACAAAAAAATTGGCCAGGCATGGTGGTATGCACCTGTAATCCCAGCTACTTGGGAGGTTGAGGCAGGAGAATCACCTGAACCTGTGAGGCGGAGGTTGCAGTGAGCCAAGATCGTGCCACTGCTCTCCGGGCTGGTAGACAGAGCGAGACTTCATCTCAAAAAATAAAAAAATAAAATAAATTTCTCTACATGCTCCCTAAGCTGTCTTATTTCATGGCCACAGCACGTGCTGGAACACTGTTG